GATAAACAGTATGACGTGAAGGGGTAGCAGTCAATGCCAGATTTCATTGTATTAAGGAAATAAAAACAAGGCATCCCTTTATATATTGTACATTATAGTAAGTAATTTATACATTATTCCTAAGACATAATAACCTGGTGAGAAATTTATACCTTATTTCCATTTTATAGATGGAACAAGTTGTTTAGTTATTTAACTTGTAGTTGAGCTGGTTATTAACCTAGCTCTGTCTCACCTTAGAGCTCACAGAGTTCTCATCACAATCACAATGAGAATAAGCTTCAGGGACTGGCGGGCCTCTCACAGATCATGTGATATTTCCTATATACCATATCTGGAAGGCACATGGCCCCAGTAATAACATTCAATTTCCTCAGTTGTAAAAGCTGTTCTCAAATTTTCAAGCTACATGTCATTGCTTTACTTTTAACTCGGCGTGGTTTACTGAATAAAAGATAGGAAAGAAATGAATGAACCGAATTTTTCCTCTTCTAACCCATTCAGAGTTAAGTTTCTCTCGTATTACTTTAAGGTAAAAGAAAATAGCTCTGACAGTTTCTAGGGACTTTGGAAGCCTCCATGTGATGGTATATAATAGCCCCTTGAATCTCCTAGAAGAAAATTGCTATGTAAACACAAATTACTGTATTCCAGTGGAGAAATGGTCCAACAAGCGCGTGTATGTACATGGACTTGCACAATTCATTTGATTGGAAGATATTGAGAACTTTTCTAGACTTTCTCCTTAATAACACTGAGATCATAGTTAACTGGCTACATTCCAATAAAACATAAAACCAATTTTATTGCATCATCAGAAAGACTGACTTTTCTGAAATATTGTCACAAGCAGGTAAGTATTCTAAAGGGTGGCCAACTTCCTTTCCATACAAAATTTATAAATAATTTTATATTCTGATACGTAATTATAGAACATATTTTCTTGATTACCTTTATATGTTTTAAGGAAAGTTAGATTTGCCAAGGCAATCAAAATCAATCAATCTCACTTAAACATACTTTATAGAAGGTTCAATACAAAATGCAATTCCAAATAATGAAATCACAAAACGCAGCACTAATGAAAAATCAGGACAAATAGGCTGAAAGCAGGAAGAATATATTTGATGACTACACATCTCAGATTTCCTGGGATATTCCAAACTTCAAATATCCTGTCCCACGGTTGCCAAAAACTATGAAATGACCTAGGAATTTCAATATTTGGTGTACAAGTTAGAGTTTTCATGAGTCTTTTATATCTAAGAATGGTTCAGAAACCTTTTTGGGCACACACATTTTCATTTTCTGATATAGAATGTGTTGAAAACAAATCCAGAAAACAGTAAAGCAAAATAAACTTTACAAAAAGTATGATAAATCTAAAATTTAATGGTTGATAAAGAGAAAAGCAGCCCCTGGCATCCAGGCGCTGGTCTGGTACCCATAGGTAGGCTGTGATGCTCTCCTGTTGAACACCAACAATTCTAAAGCACACCAATATCAGACAAGACAACTCTGTGATCATGATGGATCAAGACAAAAGGACCAGTCTATAATCACGTGGCACACAGACAAAAGCATGAACATCATCCAGAGCACACACGTTACCCTCCCCACCTTCTGGCTAATACGAGTAAATGTGGCTTCCCCACCAGTCACAGCTTCAGCTTCCCTCTGCTGGTCTTGCCTTTTAATTAAGAATTATGAAGACATTCAATCACAGAAGGACTCCCATTTCTGACTGCATCCAATTCACAGCAAAGCTTTACTGCCTTGGATCCTTCTCTGAATCACTGAACACAAGACAAAATCTTACAGTAACCTTTTTCTAACATCTTCTAAGAGATCCCCAGTTTCTCATGATCTCCATTGTTGTAATAAGTAAATAAATGTAAATATGTTCAACTATACGTGTGTTCTGTTGGTCTTTGGCTGAAAGGAACTGATAGAGTAAATATAGCTGCATCACACCCAAACAGAGAAAACACAATGTGCTCAGTTGGTTATAATAATGTCACTGACATCAGCTAAAAATATTAGGTTGTGCAAATGTAATTGTGGTTTTTGCCATTAAAAGTAATAGATGCCATTAAAAGTAATGGCAAAACCATTAGAAGTGATGGTACAAACTGCAATTATGTTTGCACCAACCTATATAATGTTTCTTGAAAAGATTTAGCAACTAAAAATGGGATTCGTGGTTTTGTGAACTGCCATTCAAACACTATCTCTACCTGTCTCTTTTCTCAGTTCTCAAAATAGTTGCTTTAGGAAGCTGCGTCATTGGTAAATAAAATACCTATTATATGTGTTGAAATGTAATGGGAAATAGAACGTTAGTATGCATAAATGTGCAGAAAATCAAAAGAAATAAAGGGTGAAATAAAAGGACTACATAAATATACCGCTCTTCCAATCACAGGTAATATATTTGCTATTAAATTTTAACTTGCAATTTACCATAAGTTAGGAAGATGCCACAGAACACTTACACTAGAAATGGAAGTCTTGCACATTAGCAGAAACAAGAGATACTTAACTATCCACTCTGAAAAATCAATCTTGTATTGATTTGAGGCTTATGATGCTGTAACTGACTACAGCTGATGATTCTTACCAGCACCATGTAAAAACATTATAGACTACATTGATAAGGTAGTGTTTCTCCGACTTTAATGTCCAATACAAAAATTAGCCAGGCATGGTGGCGGGTGTCTGTAATCTCAGCTACTTGGAAGGCTGAGGCAGGAGAATGGCTTGAACCAGGGAGACGGAGGTTGCAGTGAGCCAAGATCGCGCCATTGCGCCTGGGCAACATGAGTGAACTCCGTCTCAAAAACAAAAACGAAACTTTAATATTTATATTGCCTGGGCATCTTGTTGGAAAGCAGATCTTGGTTCAATAGCTCTAGAGTGGAGCCCACGTTCTGCCTTTTCAACCAGTTGCCCGGGTGATGCAAACGCTGCCGGACTGAGGATCATGCTAAGTAGCAAAGACATAAAAATTAACTGTTATAAGGTACGCTGGGAAGTGTCTAGGGCTAATGTTAACACGCGTAATCACCTACTTCACTGTTATGACAGCTCATGCCAAGTCTCAATTCTTTGTCTAGAGAGGGTTGGGAGTTCTCAGTTGGAAGTTCTCAGACGGAACCTAAGATTGCCCTGGCAGCAGTAAAGCAGCCGAACAGAATCCGTTTCCTGCTGCATTAGCTGCTGCTCATCCTCCATCAGAGCAAAACCAGAATATTCCTTTCTTGAATTAAAGGCAAAAGAAAACTCTCCTTTATGGGCATTTCCTATATCATCTACTTTTGTCTCATTGTAACTCTGCAACCTTCATGTCCCAACATATTCTCCCCACTCCCCAAACGCTTGGTTCCACTCAAACCTTTATATATAATTCATATGCCAGGCATGAACATCTCAAAAATGGTTTCCTTGAGGTTTTGGTTAGTTGGATCTTAAATAATCACAGAAACCAAACACTAGATGTTGCTTAAGGAAATCCAAAAGAATCTCGTGTTCCCCATGTTATAACCCCAAAGCTAAAAGATGAAAGGGATCTAAAAGTTTATCTAGTCCCCGAAGCCCCAAAGGCATTTGGCTCAGGTGCCCTTGAGGGATGTGGGAGTCATGGTGCAGCAGATAAACCATCACATACACCCCAGACTAGTTAGTGCTTCATAATCACAATGCAGCTGCACCTGGGTGACGTCTAATGAAACAGAGGCTCAGTATGAAATTCAACCCAGAGCCCAGATTTTAGACCCAGGTGACATGGACTGCTAAAGGCGTTTTTGTACCCACTTTAGTTAATTTCGTTAGAATTTTAGAGTCAGTCACTAGGGAAACCAAGACTTAGAACAGCTGGAGGCTTCTCTAGATAAGCTGACAACCATGACCAACTTTCAAGCATGTTCCCACGTAAGGAAAGTATGGGCGACTGTAATAGACATGTGCCCTTTATTTGATGTCATCTATCTTTTGCTGGCATCTGAGCCCATTACATCTTCTAGAGAAAGAATAATTTCACCAAATCCATGAGGGTGCGTGCTCATCCTTTCTCAAGCCCAGTCCTGGCTGGGCTCTGGAGAACCCCACAAAATCCTGCTGCATTTCAGTTCATTAAATGAAACGCCCAACTTTATTATACACTATATGATATGTACCCCAAATAAAGTCAAAACAACTAGAAGGTTCACAAAAATGAAAGTGAAAACTAACAAAACACAAAAATCGTGGAAGTAATCATGACAGATGGTTTCTGAAGTCTTATAACTCTCATAGGCCGAATGCACTCTTTAGTTGACTGCTAGGCATCAAAAGATGTATAGAACTTTTTAATTGAGAAAAATACTTTTCTGTAAAAGAAACATATCTCAATCCATTTTAGTGGTGGAACACAAGAATTGCAAAAGAAGAAACCAATGCCTTCCGAAAGTAGAGAAAAGTAGCCATCACATGGTAACTACGAGAGCAAGGCCTGGAACTAAGGTCTATTATTAACTACAAGGACCTGTGATCTCTCCTACATATCATGTTAAACTTACAAATTTTAGAACTTAGTATACTATCTTCACATAGTAAGCTCTTAAATGTTTACTTAATTATTTTGCCAAAAAGAAGCAAATATTCCCTGCCAGGGAAATATGAAACTCATACTGTTAAATCAGACCCATGATGATGATTTTTATTTTGGTACTGCTCTCATGTCACTAAAGAGACCTCTATCCATGAGCCAATTCACAGTTGATGTCCTGGGCACATTTCTAAGATACTCTAAACCCAGAAATTAGAACATGTGTCTTTAAAATATTCAAAACCATTTTACTTTTGTGATGGGGAAAAATGAGATTCATCTCAGTAGCAACAAATGTATTACAGGTTTTCTGTTTATTACAAAGCATATTGATAATTAAGGAACCTATAAAAATAAAAACAGTGTCACTCAATATTTTTGTTATAATCTGTATTTTAAAAAAGGATTTAATTACCAGTTTGAGGCTGCAGAACTTTGGAATCGTCAGACGTTTTAGCTGTAGGCACAATCCATGGCTTTTCACTTGAAGCTATATTGAAAAGAAATGGAATTTGCTGAAGATTTTTTTTTTTAAGAGAAAAAAGGAACAGAAACTAGTTGCTGGTATGACTAAGTGGCTACCCGAAGCCTGCAATTAAAAAAATCATACACCAATACAATAAAAAGTCATTATATATCAGTTAGAAATGAGTATGTATTCATCCAGAGAATATTTGATTAGTGCTCAGAGAGAGACCAGAGTTGTCAGACTGTCAATATTTTTAATGACAAAAAGCTAAGTGGGTTATGTGGAATTAAGACTGATGAATTTTACTGAATTTGCAGAAAGTCCAAACCATGAACTTATTTTTAAAAAATCAAATCAACCACTTGTTTGCCTAACTTAACTATCAGTTCATGAGGTTTGCAGAAATAAGAATCAGTAAATGTGTCCTGCAGAATCACACAATCACCACACACAGCCTTAATGTTAAATTTAAAGTACGCTTATTACCCAAGGTGCCCCCAGGTTTCTCAAAAGGGAAGGGTGTTTTTGCCTCAGGAAATTCTGGAAGCCTTTTTGGAACTGTAATGAAACACACAAGGAAAGTTATGACCTGAGGTGCAAGTAACAGAAAAGATGCTTAAAATCTCAAGCTTGCAAAAACAAAAGCAAACACAAAAAGGCAAATCATGTTAAGAGACCATTAGTAGTATTTCTTAACAGCTGTGTTTCAATGTTATACTAAAGTTTCTTTTTCAATTTTTTTGTAGTTAAGTGACTAAATTTAAGCTACTCTATTTGGACTCTTCACCCTTGTTAAACCAGTTTCCTGATTTCTTCAGCTATGTTTAATGTGTTTTCTTAAAGGTATTTCATTCAAATTTAAACCAAGCAAACAAATCTGAATTAGAAAATGTCCAGCTAAAAGCTTTTAAAAGTACAATTTCGGTAACTACATGGCTTTAATGTAAGCTCCTCCCTTTTTCTTTTTGAAATGTCTCGCTCTGTCACCCTGACTGAAGTGCATGGCGCCATCTCGGCTCACTGCAGCCTCCATCTCCCGGCTTCAAACGATTCTCCTGCCTCAGCCTCCTGAATAGCTGGCATTACAGGCATGTGCCACCACCCCAGGCTAATTTTTGTATTTTTAGTAGAGATGGGGTTTCACCATGTTGGTCAGGGTGGTCTCGAACTTCTGACCTCAGTCAATCCACCTGCCTCAACCTCCCAAAGTGCTGGGATTACAGGCATGAGCCACTGCACCCTGTCCTCATTTCATTTTCATAGTTCACTCAGAAAAATCCTAAGAATTCTGAGAAGCAGTCTGTGGAAATATCATAAAAATATCTTCTCTGTCCAGAGAGACAATAGGGTAAAAACATTTAGAAAAAAATACAAAAATTATAAATTTGGTGACACACTGATTCTGAATTAAAAGAATCAAACATAACATTAAAATATGACCACTTAAAAGAAAAACAAGCCAGCCAAAGGAAGGATGTGTCACAGGGAGGGCCTCTTTGGGATCCTAAACTTGAAGACTGTGTCACTTTTAAGGGATTGGGTATAAATTAGCATAATTCATTCAAAGGACTTCTATGAAGCAGGCATACAATTTCCAAGGTAATAATAAAGCTGCAGTATTTATTAATTTTTACCTAGAGTGCTCAGTGGCAATTCAAACTGAGGTATTCGAATAGTTTGCAATGTTTCCGGGGTCCTTTTGCTGAGAACTACGGTAAAAAAAGACTGCAGTTAGCATCTCCTTGCGATTTGATGTTGTTGCTTAACCATGATCAGACACAGCACGTTTTGTAACAGACTCTTGGACAAAGAGCAGCCAATACCTTTAATGGAAATGATGACTTTCCCTGAAAAGCGACATAGCTGTTAAAACATGAAGGTATACATTCAAAGGGCTGTGGTGTGGCAGAGAAGGTCAACGTCAAATTACAGAACAAAACACATGCTGCTCCTCTTCTCCAGGGGAAGAGAAGCACACAGCAAGTGAGATTCTCTTAGGCCAAGAAACAACGAACATGAGTGACATGAAATTCTCATGTCAAAGCATGACACTTTTTTTTTTTTTTGAGACGGAGTTTCGCTCTTGTTACCCAGGCTGGAGTGCAATGGCGCGATCTCGGCTCACCGCAACCTCCGCCTCCTGGGTTCAGGCCATTCTCCTGCCTCAGCCTCCTGAGTAGCTGGGATTACAGGCACGCGCCACCATGCCCAGCTAATTTTTTGTATTTTTAGTAGAGACGGGGTTTCACCATGTTGACCAGGATGGTCTCGATCTCTTGACCTTGTGATCCACCCGCCTCGGCCTCCCAAAGTGCTGGGATTACAGGCTTCAGCCAGCGCGCCCGGCCAGCATGACACTTTTGAGGATTCTCCCTAAGTTTAGTATGCACGAGACTTCCCAAAGCTAATCTAAGCAGAAAGCAGAGTCAAGACTTCCAGGTTTCCTTCACCCTCTCCCAAGATTTGGGGGTGAAAAGGCTGGTATTCTGTCTCTATAACCCAGAGACTGGTTAAAAACGTGGTGCAGTTAGCAACTAGCATCGAGACTTGTCCAGAGGGTCAGTCACCAGGATCAGACATATGGTTAACTCTTCAGTGCAATTCGTCCAAGAAACAGGAAGGTTAACCACCGCCAGGAGGGAAAAGGACTAAGTGGGGAGGGAGAGAGAAGTTAAGGCATCGGGTTTCTTTTCTGTGAGTCCTGGGAGCAATTTTATGACTTTTTTTTTTTTTTTAAAGGAAGAAAAGTTCTCAGAATTACCCAGTGTTGTTTCTGAAACATCGAATGCACCAGGCACAGTGGGTTTAGCGCTTCTTGGCACTGTTTCGGGAGTCACTGAAAGGCAAAGAACACAGCTTTACAAATTAAGATAAAGTGAAGCAACCGAAGACCAGGAGACATATTTTGTTGCCTTTTAGAATCCGTAACTGGTATTTGTACAGCCCATTTCTTTTTGTGCTACTTATGGGAAGAGCTCCTTGGCTTGCGTGGAGTGCCTGAGCTGACAGTTCTCTCTGCTCTTCCCTTCTGGGTTTGCTTTCTATCCAAAAAAGTACTCTGACCCGACTTTCATTGAAGCACTCATCAGTTTAATCATAATTTTAAATCTGCCTTTTTCTTTATCTTCAAGGCTTAGCACAACACCTGGGATACATTGAGAAGCTCGTAATAGTTATTTAAAAAAAAAAAAATCTTTTCTTGAAGAATCTGAAGGATAATCAAGATAATAGTTTATTAAATGAATAAATGGGGAAATAAAAGGATGACTCTGGGCTAAAAGTGTTACTTGGAGCTATCACATTATAAGACTTCTCTTTTATACTGCATTTAATATGCCAAGCTTGAAAAGGAATTGAAATTCTGATGAGAATTTAAACGCTCAGTTACAGGTTTGTCCCAAATGCTAGATTAAAGATAATGGGAGGCTCAAGCAAAGAGTTTTGGTGAAGTAAGAACTAAGATCACTGAGATCTGAAATGAATTGAGAGCCAGAAGCCCCCAGAGTGTTACAGGGCAAGAACACAAAATAAACACAATAACCCTGAATACTAAGTCGTCGTGTTTTTCTAAGTGTTTCTGAAGTGAAACAGTCTGAGGAGGGTCTGGCAGAGAACTAAGAAATGTAGACTTTCCCATCAGCAATGCTGCCAAGTGAAGAAAGTGGGTAGAATCTTTGAGGGAAAAAGGCACGTGGAGTCACTCACTGGATCGTGCCTATGCTTTTCTGGATATTGATCATGTATACCGAAGTCAGAAACCATGTAGGAATTTCATCCAAATGGGTCATGTCACTCCAGTAGCTACCTCTGCTCCAACTCCCATGAAGGTGGGAATGAAAGGTCCATCTCTCTTCTTTAGAAAAGGACCATATTTATCTTGCTCTCTCAGGCATATTCCTACTTGAATGGATCTCTCAAAGTTACTTTACTGCCACAACAACTTTTATCATCTCTGGACCAGTTACAAGTCCAAAAGTTTAGTCATAGTTATATATTATCAACATTGCAAGTTACAGGAATTTATGAACTAAAAAATTCACTTCAGATTAAAGTTACTTTGCTAAATATAGATTGTGGGAAATTCTTGCCAGATGTCTGTTTCATCAAGTCCTGGATAAGGTGGTACTCCTCTGGCAAAAACTCTAGCTCAAAGATTAATGCTTCCCTCATAGACTGGACCTGAGTAGTTCATTCATAGAAGAAATGCTGAATGTTTGTTAGTAATGGTGACACACTATGGAGAAAACACTTACTGCATGAATTCTTTAAAGGATTGCTACGAAAGTATTCTATGTTCTCTACACTAGCATTGCTAAAGTTCCAGAGACATTCTAAATAATTTCAGGGTATTTTCTTTTCTTTTTTATTTTTATTTTTTGAGACGGAGTTTCGCTCTTGTTACCCAGGCTGGAGTGCAATGGCGCGATCTCGGCTCACCGCAACCTCCGCCTCCTGGGTTCAGGCAATTCTCCTGCCTCAGCCTCCCGAGTAGCTGGGATTACAGGCACGCACCACCACGCCCAGCTAATTTTTTGTATTTTTAGTAGAGACGGGGTTTCACCATGTTGACCAGGATGGTCTCGATCTCTTGACCTCGTGATCCACCCGCCTCGGCCTCCCAAAGTGCTGGGATTACAGGCATGAGCCACCGCGCCTGGCTATAATTTCAAGGTATTTTCATCGACATTAAGCTATGGATTTGTGAAGAATATACGGCATTTTGCTACAGCGACCACTTATGAAAGTATAGAAATGAAAAATGGTTATCATACAAAAGAAAAGCACCAAACTTGTTGTATGATATTTTAATATAAAAGTATGTCAGTGATGAGCTAATCATTTTCATTTAGAGTAAAAAATACAGCTTCTGTATTACATATGAATTAGGAGATTCAACAGTTCATTTTGCATCTGTTGTCTTCCCAAACGTTAAAGACATGAAATCTCCTACTGTTTTGCATTTATGATCAAAATGAGTTTCCTACTGGCTCTCTGCAGATTAGTATTTGAAAAAAAGCATTCTCTCTTTTCTCAAGGTCAACAACATAGCAATCTCATTACCTGCTGTGGGCCGAGCTGGGATTTTTTCAACCTCTGGTGTTTTAGATTCGGCAGGTAATGCCAAGGTTTCATTCTTAGCTAAAAAGTCAGAGAACAAACAATTTACCTCTCTTGCAGTGTCCAAAAATACCTCCCTCAAGGCATAATCAAGTAGCAGACTAAAACTCTAATCTACTCACATCCCCTCCCCATCAGCCAGTCACCGACTTTATTGTGCAACTCTAAAAGGAACTAATATAAGTCCTCAAAATTCTTTCCTATGATACCTAGATAATTTTAAAATACCTAAATTGGCAGAAGCAAAAAATCACAACCCAGTATTTGGATACCTCTCAATTCATTCTGATTGATAAACAGAATTTCTGGAAGGCATAGGCTGTATTGCAAATGCTTCCTGAAATTTTATACTCAAGTACTCTCGATTCCAAAAAAATTGATCTATAGAAATTTTTCATTATTATACATGGTAAAAAATGTAATAAGTTATGACATTGAGCTTTCAGAAAAACACAAATAACACATATAGGAAACTAAGCTATTTGAAAATATTCATGGCAAAAAATTAAACAGTAAGTTTTATTTGAACCTCATATTAATGTAGATCTCTTTTAATCTCTATAGGAATTCAGTACAAAGAATAAAATAATTTTTTCCATTTCTCCTCTTTATGCAACTATTTGAGAAACCTCCTTTTAAAATGTAGATGTTCTTTTTCAAAACATGTAACATTTCTAGGCCAGTGTTTCCCAGTGATTGTGACAGTCCCCATTTGAAAGGGTATAATTAAGATTAACTCTATTCAGATATTTTTCATGTTGAATCATATTACCTGCTCATAATATTTTGAAACAGTCTAGTGGTATGAAAGAATTCAAGTACCTTTGAGATACCCTGATCATGCCACCCTGAGTTGATGATATAATCAGACATGATTTTTCAGAGTCCTAAGTCTATATAGAACTTAACTTATAGATATCTCAATCTTAACTTACAGATTTCTCAACTTTGGCACTATTGATATTTGAGGCTATCCTTTTTTTGTGTGGGTGGCTGGCCTGTATTCTGTAGGATGTTGAACAGTATCTTAGCTTCTACCCACTGGATTCTAATAGTGCTCTGACACACTTTGGGAATATTTTGTGCTCCACAGATAGATTTGTGACAACCAGAAGTATCTCCACACATCTTCAGGTATTTCCTAAGGGACAAATTTTGCTCCTTGTTGAAAACTTTAATTTTCGCACTCAAAATTCTTTGAACATGTACGTATATTTTATAATCTGTAGTTCACTTTATTTTTGTAAAGACTGTTTTCTTTTCTGTTAATGTGGGTTCAAAAATATTTAACTCTGATGAGCTTAAAGACAATTAGAAAGTCATCTCTTTCATGATGTTTATAGAAGTAAATCCATTTTCAGCCTCTACTTGATAAAAGCATACAATAGATTTCTAGATAGAAAATTTTCAGGAGTGATTTAAAATGCTACCATTAAGAGTCATAAATGATAATTTACAACAAATTGTGTGTTTCTGAGATTGCAAAGCATGTTTGCACAATGAAATGTTTAATAGCATTGTTCAAATTAACTTAGCAGGGCATAGAAAGGAATTTAAACAAATAGACATATACAGAATGCTCCACCCCAAATCCACAGAATATACATTTTTTTCTCAGCACCACATTGCACTTACTCTAAAATTGACCACATCATTGGAAGCAAATCACTCCTCAGCAAATGCAAAATAATGGAAAACATAACAAACAGTCTATCAGACCACAGCACAATCAGACTAGAACTCAGGATTAAGAAACACACTAAAACCCACACAAACACTTGGAAACTGAACAATCTTGCTTCTCAGTGTCAACTGGATAAACAATGAAATGAAGGCAGAAATAAAGATGTTCTTCGAAACCAATCAGAATGAAGACACAACTTACCAGAATCTCTGGGACACCTTCAAAGCAGTGTCAAGAGGGAAATTTATAGCAATAAATGCCCACATGAGAAACAAGGAAAGATCCAAAATTGACACCCTATTGTCAAACTTGAAAGAGCGAGAGGAGGAATATCAAAAAAACTCAACAGCTAGCAGAAGACAAGAAATAACTAAGATCAGAGCCGAACTGAAGGAGATAGAGACACAAAAAAACCCTTAAAAAAAATTAATAAATCAAGGAGCTGATTTTTTGAAAAGGTCAACAAAATAGACAGACTGCTAGCCAGACTAATAAAAAGAAAAGAGAGAATAATCAAATAGATGCAATAAAAAAAGATAAAGGGGACATCACCACTGATCCCACAGAAATACAAACTACCATCAGAGATTACTACAAACAACTCTATGCACATAAACCAGTAAACAACGAAGAAATGGATATATTCCTGGACACTTGTACTCTACCAAGACTAAACCAGGAGGAAGTTGAAACCCTGAATAAACCAGTAACAAGTGCTGAAGTAGAGGCAGCAATCGATAGCCTACCAATCAAAAAAAGTGCAGGTCCACATGGTTCACAGCCAAATTCTACCAGATGTACAAAGAGGAGCTGGTTCCATTCCTTCTAAAACTGTATCAAACAATACAAAAGGAGGGAATCCTCTTTAACTCATTTTATGAGCCCAACATCATCCTGAATATCAAAACCAGGCAGAGATTCACCTAAAAAAGAAAACTTCAGGCCAATATCCATGATGAACATTGAAGCAAAAATCTTTAATAAAATACTGGCTAACTGACTGCAACAGCACATCAAAAAGCTTATCCATCACAATCAAGTAGGCTTCATCCCGGGGATGCAAGGCTGGTTCAACATATGCAAATCCGTAAACGTAACCCATCACATCAACAGAACCAAAGACAAAAACCACATGATTTTCTCAATAGATGCAGAGAAGGCCTTCAACAAAATTCAACAGCCCTTTATGCTAAAAACTCTCAATAAACTAGGTATTGATGGAGTTTATCATAAAATGATAGAAGCCATTTATGACAGACCGACAGCCAATATCATACTAAGCAGGCAAAAGCTGGAAGAATTCCCTTTGAAATCAGACACTTGACAAGGAGGCCCTCTCTCATCACTCCTCAATACTCAATATACTATTGGAAGTTCTAGCCAGAGCAATCAGACCAGAAAAAGAAAAAAAGCGTATTCACTTAGGAAAGGAGGAAGTCAAACTGTCTCTATTTGCAGATGACATGACTGTGTATCTAGAAGACCCCATTATCTCAGCCCAAAATCTTCTCAAAATGATAAGCAACTTCAGCAAAGTCTCAGGATACAAAATCAATGTGCAGAAAGCACAAGCATCTGTGGGGAACACTACCATGTGGATATTTGCAAAGCAAATGCCACAATATGGATGGGTTTGATCCCAGACACAGAGACGCCTGACTAGGGGGAGTTGAGATAAGTTGAGTCAGGAGCAGACAAAGGAGAATCTGGTTAAAAGATATTCTGATGAGTAAAACCAGAAAACCTTTTTACATGTGAGTTCTAAAAGAAGATCAAACCAGAAACACCTGCACTCATGAGGAACAATGTCTGGATGTAAATAAGCTTTATGATCACAGGAAATTCTATTACTTTTTACAACCACTGTGTATCTGACTTCTCTATTGTATAGGCCATGTAAGGTATAGATTTGCATTTCCTCTTGCAATGATGTAAACCAGAGCCGAGAAAATGTATTTATTCCTGGCCTTTGACAAAATAAACTTGCTGTTTGGGCACTGCCTATTCAGTCCTCCAGATTCCGCTTTCTGTCTCTTTTCTTCCACGCACTCTCTCTTCCAGGTATTGGGACCCTCTTGCAGGTCGAGATATCCCCGGCAGATGTGCCGTTCCGACTGTCCATGACAAGCATTCCTATATACCAATAACAGACTTAAAGAGAGACAAATCAAGAACAAACAGCCATTCACAATTGCTACAAAGATAATAAAATACCTAGGAATACAACTAACCAAGGATGTAAAGGCCCTCTTCAAGGAGAACTATCAACCACTACTCAAGGAAATAAGAGAGGACACAAACAGATGGAAAAACATTCTATGCTCATGGTTAGGAAGAATTAATATAGTGAAAATGGCCATACTGCCCAAAGTAATCTATAGATTCAATGCTAGCCTCATCAAGCTACCAATGGCCTCCTTCACAGAACTGGAAAAAACCACTTTAAACTTCATATGGAATCACAAGAGAGTCTGCATAGCTAAGACAATCCTAGGCAAAAAGAACAAAGCTGGAGGCATCAAACTGCTGGACTTCAAACTATACTACAAGGCTACAGTAAAAAAAAAAAAACAAAAACAAAAAACAGCATGGTACTGGTACCAAAACAGAGATATAGAGCAATGGAACAGAACAGAGGCCCCATAGGCAACATCACACATCTACAACCATCTGATCTTTGACAAACCTCACAAAAACAAGCAATGGGGAAAGGACTCCATGTTTAATAAATGGTGTTGGGAAAACTGGCTAGTAATGTGCAGAAAGCAGAAACTGGACCCCTTCCTGTCACCTTACACTAAAATTAACTCCAGATGGATTAAAGATTGAAACACAAAACCTAACACCATAAAAACACTAGAAGAAAATGTAGGCAAAACTATCCAGGACATAGACATAGGCAAGGACTTCATGACTAAAACACAAAAAGCACTAGCAACAAAAGCCAAAATAGACAAATGGGATCTAATTACAATTCAGAGCTTCTGTACAGCAAAAGAAACCATCATTAGAGCGAACCAGCAAGCAACAGAATGGGAAAAACTTTTTGCAATCTACCCATCTGAACAAGGGCTAATATCCAGAATCTACAAATAACTAAAACAGATTTACAAGAAAAAAAAACCCATTCAAAAGTGGGCAAAGGATATGAACACTTTTCAAAAGAAGTCATATATGAGGCCAAGAAACATGAAAAAATGCGTATCACTGGTCATTAGAGAAATGCAAATCAAAACCACATTGAGATACCATCTCACGGCAGTTAGAATGGCGATCATTAAAAAATCTGGAAACAACAGATGCTGGAGAGGATGTGGAGAAATAGCAACACTTTTAC